CCCCGGTGACCGTCATCTCTAGGTCCCCAACCAGGCAGCCTAACGGGACCTCTGTGTGGGGATAGTCAAACACTGCTTCGACAGATACGCAACACGGGAGGTCGGTGAACTACAGTTAATGGAATAGTCTGCAACAGTTGGCCAGGTGCTAACCAGGTTATCTTGTCTGGTGTAGCCGAGGCTCCGTGGGCATTGTCATCTGAACCTCCTACGGCAGCAGAAGTTCGATCTTGCATCCAAACTCTGAAGAAAGGAAAAGCAGCAGGACTGGACGGGCTTCCTCAAACTCCTTTCAAAATGGGGGGGGGGGGNGATTACCTTGTAGACTCCATTACTGATTTAGTGCGTAACATATAGTCACACGAGTGCATTCCATCATCCTGGAGAGAATCACTGATTGCTCCAATTTTTAAGAAGGGATCTCGCAATGACTGCGCAAACCACCGTGGAATAAGTTTGATCCCAATCGTCACCAAGTTACTAGCCTCCATTATACTTCTACGTCTGACACCGTTTAAGGAGACAAATATCCGCGAACAAGCAGGATTTCGACCAGGCCGCGGTTGTATCGATCAAATCTTCACTCTGCGTCAAGTCCTCGAACCACACCATACGCACTGTCGACCAACGGTTGTCGTGCTCCTTGAACTAAAAGAGCCTTCGACTCAGTTGACCGTGAATTCCTTATGGGTTCATTTCTTCACAAAGAAATGCCACAGAACGTGAACATAATGAGTTTACTCTACTGGGATACTTCTGGTAGCCTACGGGTCTACGGCGAGCTGAGTAGGTCGTTCGTAACTAGCAGCGATGTTCGTCAAAGGTACCCTCTTTCGCCATTCTTGTTCAATTTCGTCAAACACGAAATACCGGAGAACACACTTAGTGGTCTCCAAAATGTAGGTATTGAATGGGCAGCTGGAGAAAAGCTGTGCGATTTGGAGTACACTGACGAGATTGTTTGCTTGTTCGAATGTATGGAGGATGCACAAAGAGCACTTGACAGATTAGCAAGTTCTGTTGCTCCGTTCGGCATGTGCTTTGCATCTTCGAAGTGAAAAGTGATGCTATAAGACTGGGTGTCACCGAGTTCTGTTCTGAAACTAGACGGTCAGGAATCAGCTGAAGTTGGAGAAAGCCATGTGGAGGCTAGTAGTTGACATGGAGTCGAGGCATGAAGAAATGCACAGTGATTAGATGATTAGAGTAGATGTCTCTCGTCTCCCTGGTTGGGGTCCAAAAGGTTCCGCAACCGCGTGGTTGGAGACACTGAAGGTAATGGCTGTGAACCGAC